CAGGAGGTTGCCCATTGCAAGAGCTCTCAAATGGCTCCGATCATGTTGGTAAAGCTAACTTAAGAATCATATCAATTTATTCTATTAGATACTCGCTTTACAACGTCATTGCTATTTCTCAGAGTTGATTATAAAAACTATTTCTTTCAGAAGGATTAAGTCAAGAGTTAAGAGGGATTACTCTTAAATTGATCAAACGGTAATGAAAGAGAGGGGAAAAGAGTGTATGAAGGGTAATGTTGATTTGGAAGAGAACGGAACAAGCGCCAGTGCTGAGTGAGGTAAACAAGAGCCAAAATATTTATTTATTTATTTATATCAAATGGCAGGCTTTATGATATTTATCATTAGCCCTTTAGTTGACTTCAAGCTTTACAAAGGGGAAGGAACATCAACGTGAAAAAATTCGAAAGTGGGGGGGGGGAGGAACAGAAGAGTGTTTCAAAGATGTAAGAGACAGACACAAAAGTAGAACAAAGGTGAGGTGAGTAATGTGAAAATAGTCGAATATGACATGCAGTGGGGTAATGGTAGTTTGAAGTGAGAAGTCAACTGCCAGTTAATAGACTTTTTTGCCGTATGAATATACGTTGCCCAGGGTGCACCACGAGGAGGTAAGTCTATCGCACACCCTACAAGAGCTAAAATAAATATCGCGAATAATGGTACTTTAAATGGCATTCATGGGAGCCGCAATGATAAACCAGAGCGATAAGGAATCATTATCTCAAAAGCAACTAAGAATTTTTGCGGTTATAAGGGCATAATCATGTTCTGCCTTTTTAATAAATACCTCCCTTCTGGCCTGAAGAATGCATATCCAGTGTTCAAGTACCCGCAGCTATCATCGAGAAACCCAATGAAACAGGACATCAGGTATGCTCTGTTCTCTCTCCCGCGTTTAAAGCATACAATTAATTTTATACCGAGTTTTCCACTAAGTCTTCATTCTACTAGGGTCATTTACAGAGCCACTTGAGAGTTGATTGATTTCGCATTTCTTTATTTCTCCATGAGAGGCCAATAAAAATTCGTCGTCCCCGAGTTGAGCCAGTATAGTAGCATACAATATTCTATGTGTTTTCAAAGGAGTTAGCAGAAATTGAGCGATTCACTTCAGAATGAATTACTTGCCAATATCAACCCCCATTTCTAGCAGGGGTCACCTAATACTTTCTGACAATAACAGAATTATGGATACGATTTTACACACTCACAAAAGATTCCAACAGAATTCGCATACCCCTTACCGCTTTTAGGATTTTCAATTAATGTGAATTTATATGGTACATTTAAAAAAGTTAGACCATTGGGTTGGGCTACGAACACTTTACACTGCTGGTAAGTGAGCGATGCTCGTGAATGTATTTGTCAACATTTAAATTCTTTGACTAAATCTTCCTTTTACGATATAAACGGGAAGGTTCTCCTGAATTAAAAGAGATAATATTATTTAAAGTATGCTGTTATGGTCTTAAACCAAACTTTGCTTTTAACAACAATTTTTGATTTAATCGTCTCTCAAACGAATCACTTGTGAAAATATACCTTAAAGCCTTGCAATTTTTGCAAAAAAATCGATGTTACCACGATGCAAAAGCAAGTCATACCTTCAAAAGTTTATGAGGTTAATCCCGATAAAATTCCTTCTGCAGAACTGAATAATTCTAATGAAGTCAAAATAAGTTCGCTTCCTTTTACCTCGGGTATTTCATCTGGGGCAAAACCAACCCAGACAATTACTGCTAAAACAGGGAGATCCGCTTTGACACTTAACCTTCAACTTCATGCTAGCAGCAGTTTTGTTCATCCCAGTGAGAAATCATTTACCAATCATATTTCTTCTGGAACTTTCCAAAAGAGTCAACAAGCCAAACAAGCTGAGGGAAGGAAATTAGGTGATCGGCTTCCACCTGCTTCAAATCGTCAGCGCCAACCCATTAATGATGCCAAATTCGCTGAAGAGGCACTTTTCAAGAAGACGCTTTCGATAGGCTTGTCAGATGTATTTAAAAATGCGCTGATTAAACATAAGTTAAACCTCACCGATTTTAGGCCTCTAAAGGCTCCCTTTGTTCCTTATATTGTCAAGATTTTGGTCAATTTCATTGAAGGAGATTGCAGAACTTATGGTTGGAATACTGTCTTTACACCATCCGATTCTTCTCAAATGGAATTGGCGGAGCTTCATGCATGTTTGCTACTGCAAAACAGAAACTATCATGAACACATTAAACGCCAAGTTAAAGCAATGTCCTTGTCCCTCAAAGTTGATACATTACGTGTTCTGCTTGCCAGATTCAAGCAAAAGCCTCTTCATTTCAGTAGGCAAATTTTAAAAGAGGTAGTTAAACAGCCATTGTATGACCTTTTCTTACGACCGAATACGAACATTAAAGATCTGGTTCGACAAACGTGCCTTCCAACTAGCAGAACGACCATGGATACACTTGCATTTATGATGTTCCACCTTCAGCATGCATGGAAAGGATGCGTTTCAAATGTGGCGAGTAAAACGACTCTGGCCAAAATTTATGGACCTCTACTCGTAAGCTTCTCGGAAAGACCCGTTATAACGGACCAGGATCCGACAAGTTATAAAACTGAAGAGGCAGCTATTCTAGAGGTGATTCTTGAAGTTTGTGATTTGCACTTCTGGGACAACTTGAGCATGTTGAAAATGCATCTTGCTTTTAACAGTAAAGAGGACGATTCGGAGGTCCAAGCGGTAGATCCATTAGAGGATAATGTAGCTCAAATTCCTATCGAGCCACCTGAATATGAGAATGAGGCATGGTTTTCTTGTCTTTTTGGGCCTAAAGAATCTCCATCAAAGATAGCACTTGAGGAGGAGGGGAAAGATATCGAGTAAGCTCATATTTTTGGGAGTAGAATTTATTTTTATTAAATTTTTTTATTCAGTGGCCGTTTGCTAATCTACCTTTAATAATGTACCAAGCTCCCCGAAAGCATGAATAATAACAACTATATCTATTAAATGGTAAAATATTAAATCGGAGTCAGATAAAATATTATCAAGCATATATTTGATCTTGCTGTCTGAGTTATTCATAAGGAAATATTTTACTTTTATCTGGGAATCTTAATGAACCATTGACCGATATTTTCGTAATTAATACCCCTCTTCTGAAGTATAATTAGCAAACCAATTGTGTTTCAAGTAAGTGAAATCTTATGCTAAAATTGTCCTAAGGAAAGAGGTACTGCCCCCTCGATTTCCCACCCATATGGTCTTTTGTAATACGCTTTGTAATTCAACCCACAAGTATTATATCTCAACTGAAATTAGAATAGATTTGGATGCAGTCATGATAGAGTCCCTTTTTCTTTCTGATAATGTTATACGCTTTTAGGAATCCATGGAGAAACAGCATTTCCGTTAAATGTCACTTTACACCGCAATGCATCAAATTACCTGAAGAAATGGAAAATCAACACGAAGACGGTCAGTTAACGGAAAAGCCAGCTTTATTAGAAGGAAACAAACGTCACACAAATGGTGCGCGGTTCCGTAAACTATCGCTAGATATTAAGGAATATCCACGGAAGCATATGTTCCTGCATGGAAATCTGCGCAATACGCAAGAAATACTAAAAGACACTAAGAAGCTATTAACAAATCCAAATGGGGAATTTTAAAGTGTCCAACCAAAAAACTACTTGGTTTATCCAGAATCCAAATGTACATTTCGAAAAAGAAAGTTAAACTAAACAATTATTTACGGTAAAATGGAATACTAATTTTATCTCAAAACTAATGCGTTGGTACCCACTAATAAGAGAATAAAATTTCTTTGTCGAAATTTATTGTTGTTTCTTAAAAAGAATGTCTCCATTTTAATTTAACTTTCAATAGTCTAATGTCATCAGGATATTTATAATTGGTGCCCATTACCCTTTAAATTAAATAACCATCTCTTTAATTATATATTGCGCAATTGCTGCAATCTCTGTTAATGTCATGAATTTCTAGCACATTTTCAATTACAAAGACTAAAGCATTTGTCCCAAATTCCCTATGGCAATTAGATCAACTACATTTTACTGAACAATCGAGAAAATATTTAAACAAATGTTTTCAAGATTAGGAAAAGAAAATATAATTCCAATTAATTTCGAAGAATATTCAATTTTGAAAATGATTTATGATGATAGACAAATTGCAAAATAGGGTCTTAATGTTTTGCTGGTCTTTATATAAAGTTAATATGAATGAAAGCAAGAGTATATGGTAACATTGCATTTTTTACGCATAGTAGGATTTGAAGGTGTATTTTTGCAACACAACATGACTGAGATTTGATAATGCACACTAATTGCTAAAAATATGGCATAATGTAAATCATAATAACAAAATTCAAGTAAATCTTAATAATTTTTACCTTATTTGCAATTTGTCAAAAAATTATCTAACGGATGGAAAAATTATAACAACGCTTGAATAGTAATTCGTTCCCTTTTAATACTTTCAATAGACGTTTTATCATGTTTGTCAAAAAGGAATATTCCAATAGGCTTTTATTTACCGAGGTGTTATTTCATACTTTAACCACTCGTTTAAATTGGCGATAATTCGTGTGACAAATTGAATAGAACCCCACGGGTCGGTGTTTTGTGCCCCTGAAATGGATATAGCGCAGACCATCCTTGATGCACTAGCTGAACAATCTCCCTTAAACTCAGGGGAGCTTGCTGATTGCTTGAATTTAAATCATCAAATTGTTGTTGGTGGCATTAAAAGTCTTCAGCAAATTGATGGGGTATGTTTCTAAGCGAGATAAGTTACCTTACAGTTAATAAAAGCTGAACAAGTCTCAATAACAGAGTGTGTTCTCACTGAAGAGGGCAAATATGTCCAAGAGCATGGAAGTCATGAGTTTGTAGTGTATTGCTCTGTTCCTGATGAAGGCATCTCAATGGCAGATCTTTTGGTTTGTTACAATCTTTCTCATAAATAATATCTTTAGAAAACTTCAAAATATGCTAAGGTTGGACTGAGCAAAGCACTAGCAGCCAATTGGATTTCTGTTACAAAGGATGAATCCAATGTCCAAATTGTTAAGAAATTGGTGAGACATATTTTTCCTCGTTACTGTCTTCCTGCGTCAGAATAAACCGTCTGTTGATGATGTGCAAGCTTGTTTAGAAAAACTCCAAAATTTAAGTATTAATGAGAAGAATGACTTGAAGAAGCGAAAGTTGATTTCCGAAAAGTAAGGTATTTTAATTTCATTCAACCTAATAATTAGAAAGACAACTGTGTACATTGTTGAACGAGGTCCTAATTTCACTACTCAGCGAGTTAAAGAAGAAACTGATTTAACTTCGTCCATGGTTCAGAGTGGATCATGGAAAGATCTCAAGTTCAAGAAATATAACTTCAAAGCTCTTGGTGTTTTCCCTGGAGGTGGACATTTGCATCCACTATTGAGGGTCCGTACTGAGTTCCGACGAATTCTTATGCATATGGGGTAAGCATAATTTGTTACCCTGTTGCTTCTTGTCTTCATAATTAATGAATTAATGTTGTGTTTCACATTTGTTACAGTTTCTCAGAGATGCCGACGAACAATTATGTTGAGTCGAGCTTCTGGAACTTTGACAGTCTTTTCCAACCTCAGCAACATCCAGCTCGTGATGCGCATGATACCTTCTTCTTGTCTGGTGCGTATTTTATTTATTCTACTCTGTGCACTTGGTACCGTTTTGCTTCGTTTTTTCATATATATTATACCTATTGAGTGTAATAAATGGGCTGCCTGATTGAGGACTGCCTCGGCCATTTCTCTTAATTTACCACGTAAATCTATGTACACAGATGTAATGTACCTTGTGGTAGTAGTAATGGGTTTCAGAACTTTGTCAACCTAACTGTACTCGTAAGGATTAACTTTTTCAACTTTTTAATGTGACATCTTTCTGCCCCAGAAAAGTATAACTATGCATTGGGTTCTAGCTTCAATGTTAACTTGTTTTATGAAACCTATTACTGCTTTTTTGAAACTTTTTCTTTTTACGCAACGTATAATTTTCTGGACATTATCTTTGTTTTTCACTCAAAAAATCTTATCTTTATATATGTTATTTCTAACAAATCCAAAAATCAATTTTCATGGCAATATTCTTCTCTCAGTGCTCAATAAGGCCTCGGAGCATTATTTTGGAAAATTATGTTATAGCTCATGATCGGATGGATGTAACGAATTGTAATGCTAAAAATTTGTTTATTCGAATTGATAAGGATGCATTCTTGATCAAAGAATCAATAATGCAAAACGTCGAGAACACCCTTGTCTTATGTTAACCGGGATGATTAGTCCTTTATTCCTTCAGAGTAAAACTTTACAACACGGGAAGCAAAAGAACCTTCGCTAAACACACCGAGCTTAATTGTGGGCAGAAATGAATACTAAATCTTAAAAATATTTTCACTTCACTTACGCAACTTAACTTTTTTGAAGCCAATTTTTTATGCTTTACCCCAGAGTCTGGATAAATCAATGTTGGTTAATCTGCTCAATTTAGGTTCTTAGATGTGTATGTTAAGCTGGTGATGTATGTTTCGGAATGGACTGCCTAGGGTTTAGTTTCAAGAATGAAAAAACTGTTATTTTCTTTGTTTTTATTATTATCTGTTAGATCCCGCTTCAACGGATCTAATGGCTCATATTCCGCAAGACTATTTGGAGCGAGTAAAGAAGACTCATGAAGTTGGTGGTTTTGGTTCGACTGGGTATCGGTATGAATGGCAACTCTCCGAATCTGCTAAGAACCTTCTGCGAACCCATACAACTGCCGTTAGTGCACGAATGCTCTATCAACTTGCACAGCAGGTGTAATATTATTGAGAAATGTTATTAATAATCTTGCTTACTTAAATCTAATAAATAGTTTTGTTATCACACTTGCAGAAAGAGTTTAAACCTCAACGCTATTTTAGTATTGATCGAGTCTTCCGAAATGAGACTCTGGATGCCACACACTTGGCTGAGTTCCATCAGGTTGAAGGTGTGTTTGCTGATTATGGTCTGAATTTGGGCCATTTAAAGGCTGTGATTCGATCTTTCTTTGGTCATCTGGGCCTGCGCCAACTCAAGTTCAAACCTGCCTACAATCCCTACACGGAGCCTTCAATGGAAATCTTCTCTTTCCATCCTGGCAAGTTCCAGAATGCTTGTGTATATTGTTTGGGTTCAGATAAGCAAAGTTATTAAGCCGTTTAGAGAGAATGCCATACCTGGTTCCCTGCTAAGAATGGGTCATTAGATTTCTTCGTAAGTAATTAAGCGAGCTATGTCTCAAAGCTTCCGGAATGGAGTTGGCATTCTTACTAATAGCGCCTTAACCACTGCTTTTCAAAGCATTTGGATTGTCACGTAAGGAGCACATGAGTTCCTGCATTGGTCATTTCGATAAAGCAACCTTTTATCTACAATTTTTTCCGAAGTGGTTAAAGCCATTCAAGTGTACTACAATAACGCATGTATCTTTGGCATTGAACTTTTTGTCTTGAGAGGCTGATATGGGTCAATCTCTATATGGATTTTCTTCTCTCTTATCCTTACTGTATGTCCTTTTTTTATTTTTTAAGGACTGATATTTCGAAATTGTAGTCTTGTTCTATTCTGTATTCGAAAGCTTCCTAATATTTGAATGTCTTTGACTTTTTAATAAAAAGGCTTGAAGAAGTGGGTGGAAATCGGAAACTCTGGAATCTTCCGTCCTGAAATGTTGCGTCCAATGGGACTTCCCGAAGGTGTCCGTGTTATCGCTTGGGGTCTCTCTCTTGAACGGTACGTATATGACCCATTTAATTAGATCATGTCAGAACCAGCATTTTTTGTTTCACTTTGTTAATTTTTATAATTGCAGACCCACAATGATTCGCTACGGCTATAAGAATATTCGTGACTTGATGGGTCCGAAGGTGGATTTGAGAATGGTTTACGATAGTCCTCTGTGCCGTCTGGATAAATTTTGATTGAGCTTGCTGTGGCACCTGTTTATTCCGTGTCTATCCTGCTGATCATTTTAATAATTAATAAAATACCTACGTACTTGTGATGTGAACCAGTTTTCTATTTATACATTTATTTCAATAGATTTTTAGGTAATTTCTAGATTAACACTGCTATCGATGTAGCCAAGAGGGAAGTTCAAAATAGTATAAAGGCAAATCTTCACAATAGCACATTATTCGTCAATGAAGTTTACTGAAAACATTGGCCGTGGGATAGGTTGCAAGAGAAAATAGGTCGAGAATTTAGGAAATATTTCTATGTACACAAGGTCTGAATTCATTAGAGGATTGGCTACTGCAGACGAAAACGAGTAAGATGGGATTCCTTCAACGGCGTGGCTAGACCCTGTTTGACCCATTCATTTTCCAGAAGTTCTTCCGCGGTTGGACGCTGGCTGGCATCGAATTTAGTGCATGATTCAAAGACAGAGATCAGTTCAGCACTAGCTGTTTGACCCGGGGACTAAATGAGAACAGATGGTAAACTTTGAGGATAAAATACCAGCCATTAGTAAATAATGAATAATAGGTAGAGCAAATTAATATCCAGGTCCTACATTGCACAATTCTAAGGAGCAATTTGGAATCGATCATTCCAACATGACCTTGAAGACAAAACGCTCAATATCTACATTACAAGACTTAATTGAGGATGGATCACGTGTTAAAGGACCTAATTTATTAAATGTACATATTTTCCAGTTTGGGTTACAATTTAAATCCATAGCCCCCGTTAGATACTGTTCCCACTCTAAGTAGTCCCTCAATGACAATATGAAAAGGGGATCAATAGTAAATCGCTTGAACCGATTGTATAAGAAATAGACATACATAGTGCTCAAAATTAGGCAAACTGTGACCTACGATATGATTAAAAATAGTGACAGAAACAAATTTTTAAAAAAGTTCAGGGTCAGATAATCCAAATGTATAAAAAATCGAATGAAAATTGATCTATAGGACATAAATATGAATGCCATAATATAGTAGCAATTAAAATGGATTCGATAATAACTACTAGGACTCTGAGGGCTTTTAATCGATTATTTGCTACATATGAGAAATAATCTACTAACGATGGATTGCCAAGGATGATTCGATACTGTTACAGAAGCGATCTTTCTGAGGAGTTTAGGAAGGAAGGAGAAATGGAACTTTGATTTACAACCACTAAATTTAAACTTAGAGGAAAAGAAATAGCGAAAACGCATCATATACTACAGAGAGTAATTTCTTCATCGTAGACAATCGTGGAAAACCGGCATATTTGAAATGCCCACCAATTTAGGGCAGCTAATTTCATTTAATGAGCAAATTTTTGTAGAACAGGGGCTGGGAGAATGAACGGGATAATTTTAAAAATCAACGGCCAATCAGAAATTCATAGGAGAGATATAAATAAAAAGTAGTGGAGAAATTAAAACGTACGCAAGGCAGTTGAATAGCTCCTTTGAGAGTCATTTTCTTGAGAAAAATTAGAGATGGAGTGATGGTACCAACAAAAGGCGCAATTCCAGTAAACATCTCAGCCAGTGCCAACCCTAAACTATAAATATCCGATGGTTTACCATAGCCCTCAAAGTCCTGTGCGACCATTTCTGGACTATACCAGGCAGCGGGATGGGTGCTGTAGATATTATCCTGGAGATTCTGATAGTGCCAACCCCTCCAAGTAGCATCGATAATGGGAACATCAGTTCGATTAAGAGAACTGCCGAAAGGACTTACAGGAACAATGCTTCCCAAACCACAAAATGCAATACCCAATGAGTCATCTTCATCGGGTAGTTGATATAAAAGCATATGCCTAGCACAAATCGATCGATGTATCCAACGATTCTTGTGAAGTTGATATAAGCTTCTCACCGCTCTAGAGAATATCGCCTGCACAATGGATTCGGGAAGACCACCGTCGACAAAGTAGGGCTTGAGGAGATCGTGTACACTTCCAGATTTCGAAAATTGATAGGAAAATGTCAAATCGGATCCGGTTAAGTGAATAGAACCCGGAAGATACAAACCACAATTTACGTTATTTTTAATAACACCAACATTTTCTGAATTATACATGCGAATAGGAGAAATCTTTTGAATGCATGCGATAAAGGTAAGCAGAGAAGCCAAATCGCCACGTCCACATTGTTCTAGTCTAATGGTTTTAGTCCATACATTTTTATTAGAAGAGCAAGTATAAGCAACAACTTCATCAGGAGGTGAAAGTACATAATCATTGTGTTCAAAAGACTTGGGTTTATCTAAAGCTGAAGAACTATAAAAATATCAACTTCACAAGTAACTTACAGATAATCTTCGTCGCAAATCATTTCGCCTTTATTATTTATAATGTTTAGAATTTGGTGAAACGATTTAAAAGATGTGAAACGAATATTTATATGACAATCTTTAATTTTTAAAATAGGCAAATGAAATTATATTATAAACAATTATACCGCTAATATAAGGCTTTTTAAGCATATTTTTTTATATTAGTTCCTTATATCTGTAAGACAATAGAATAAGTGCTTATTATTTAATAATGAAAAAGCTCAAATTGAAAGAGCGATAAAAGCTTTAATTTTTAAAATTTATTCAAATTTATTTGAACATTTAAAAGTGGTAAGTTATTTAGAATAATTTCTAAACTATTATTCATCCTGGTTCTCAGACTATGCACTAAATAACTGGATTAAATAGGGGACAAATGCCATTAGCGCAAGAGCCATATTACAGATGGATAGAAAAGCATACCATGGGAAGAAAAATATGAAAATGATTTGATAAATATGCGATCCTGTGGCGAATATTTAGAAAAAGATGTCAATAAGACTTGTAACTCAGTAAACACAGAGATTATGTAGCAGCAAAAAGTCACCATTTTTAAAGGTATTTGGCACTAACGTGAAAATGAATTTGTAGTTCAATATGGATAAAGCCACAAATGCCATGGTGCGAAGAATGAGTTATGAAGCACATAAATTAATTTTTCAATCTGTTGAAATTGAAATAAAGAACGAATGTATTTACAGGCAAAATGGATTTTAAATTTACCTTTTATTCAAAGTTTACTTTCTAGCAACACATCATCAAGAAAAACTTTTAGACCAGTCACAATAATTGTAATAATTCCTATATTATCATAGAAATATTTTACTTCGAAAATAATTATAAATGACTTAAGGTTTTAGGTGTTTGTTAATTTTAACAAGCTTATGATGGAATGGGTATCGCAAGACATATAAATTAAAAAATGAAGTAATTTTCCGTTAGTTAATTAGATTAAATCATATGTCAAAAGTTACATCACCATTACGCAAATAGCGTGTTAATTTCAAATTATAGATTAAACTTAAACATCAAACCATTTCTCCTTTAGTATATTAATAAATTTTAGAAAGAAATACTGATTGTTTTGACAATCCTGTTCGATGCACTTAAATGTTAAGGTCACATCTATAGCGTTTTTCACAAATACTCCGCATTTCTTTGGCAGGTTAGGTTCTTGCGTTCTGGGTTTTTTAAGTTTCTGCCTTCTTTCAAGTGTACTGAATCTCGTGCTAATCTTAGTTCTGGTATTCTATTTCCCATGATTTCCGAAGTTTCGGTGCACGAAAAACAGGTAAGCTTAAGTAGATTTCTTTTATTATTTCGCATTTTGCCATTATCTTTTTTGTATTTGGTGTCTTTTATCACATAATCATACACACAGGATGTACTTCTCTGTATTAATTTTTTTAGTTAAAATTTATTTGAAACGCCGTCAGTTCGTGCCATTACTATTGCATTTAAAGAAGCCAGTTTGTGTCATATTGTGTAGCGGGGTGCTACGCTAGTAAAGCCTAACCGACTCAGAAATCTCTATGGCAGATTCTATTGCTAGACTCCCAGAACAAGCTAACCTATAGCCCAGCTATAAGGAAAACAGACATACAACACGGAATACGTTTTTTCGGTACGTATATCGATAGCGAATTGTTAAGTTTGGCAAAGCGATTAGTTATCAGATAACTCTAGCATAATTCCCGTGATCATTAATAGCTAACTATTTCTGAGTAGTATTCTATAGCAGGATTTCTATTTGGTCATTGGTGGGGTGTCCCACAATTGTTTGCTTTGATAAACAATGCAAAGCATCTAATTCGTTCAATCATGTGCACAATTTATGAAATTTCCTTAGAAAGGGCCATTTTCTCCATAGAATTTTTAAATAAGAAACATTTGTTTAATCTTATTCTAGCCTAACAGGTTTTACCCAATTGTATTTGTTTTATTTAAGAATAATGATTTGCCCATAAAAAATGAAGTCGATATGCTTCGTTGTGACGTTCCGGATGATGTTTCAAAATCCTTTGACAGCTGCATTGATCTCACCTTGACCAAACGTCCACTGCGTTCTCGCATTTTGCATCACCTCCGACGATTAGCGTTGCCTATTGCATTGGGGCAGTTGCTTTCCGCCCTCATTGCGACTACTGCTATTGCAAGTAATTTCCTTGCGAACTTCGGAGTCAGTCTACCTCTTGTTCAAAACCTTCCTCATTACCTACTTCTGGCCGTTATTTATGGAATTGTTAGTTGCACTCGTTTCTGGTCTAACCCTCATGAAAACTCTCATTCTCTGTCGGGAAAACTCGTGAAATTCTTTAAAACTAGGGGTTGGCAGTACTTTATTGCTGGCACCATCGATGTTCACGCTAATTGGGCTATGGTTAGTGCATATGCATTCACAAATCTGACTAGTGTTCAACTTCTTGACTGTATTACTATCCCTACTTCCATGCTACTAAGTCGATTTTGCCTCAAGACTCGCTATAAATGGATGCATATTGTCGGTGTTATAATTTGTGTAATCGGATCGGCTTCAATGGTCGGTGCAGATTATCTAGCTGCCTCTATTAAAGGGACGACTGAAAATTCTACCACTGGTGGAAGCGGTAATTCGCAACATATATCTTCAGTCCTTCTTGGTGATTTCCTAGTTATAGCCGGTGCTATTGGATACGGTATCTCTAATGTTTACCAGGAATTCCTTGTTCGAAAGTATGGAATGATCGATTATTTGAGTTTTGCTTCTTTATCTGCCACCATCTGGACAGTAATTTACTGCTCCACACTGGAGAGAAATGCCATCATCGAAGCTATTCGTGTGCACGATCCCGTAAGTCGGTTTATCTTGATTAAGTAATAAGTTCGACTATATAATGGATATTTTTTATTGTTTCAGGCAAAATTACCCTCTATTGTAGGGTGTTTTGTGGGATTTACGTTGGCGATGTTCCTTCTTTACACCATTATGCCAATGGCCCTTTCCAAGACAAATGCGGTATTAGTGAATTTGTCCCTTCTAACATCAGATCTTTATGCTCTCTTGATTGGAATTTACCTCTTCGGAAACAACTTTCATCCACTTTATCTTGCATCTTTCGCTGCTATTATGATTGGAGTATTTCTCTTCGCATCGAGGGATCCCATATTCCGCGATCTCGTGGAAACTCCCGAGGAAGAGGATGAACTTCGAATTGGGCTGTGATTTTGTACGAATACGAGATAGGCTTTAACCATATCCGTACTGTACATATTATCTTTTCAGCGTACTGTTTCATTTTATATTTGACTTCATGTATATTCAAAAATATTAAGACATCGGCTATGTTGGAAATAATTTGTTTAATTATTACTTTAATAACTATACTCAAATTTTAACAGATAAAAGTGTCTTATAGCATAATTTCAGTTTTCGATGTCTTTTCACTACCACACCATCACCATGGTACTTTCTAGCGCAGGCAAATGAGCAGTCTCTCGTAGTTGGTTACTTTAATAAAATAATCATTTACTGACACCGATTGGTTCATTCTTCTTTATCTAATAGGGCTAAACTTCGTTCAAAGTAGTCTCAAAGTTGACTATAGCTCATCCTTGTCAGTGATGAATAGGTATAGGCTGCCAAAAGTCTACACCATATCTATAGCGTATAGTAATCGATGAAGTTTTTATTTGCAATGACATTATGAGTGTGAAGTTGCAGGCTTAGGTGATGCACTGGAAATACGGTGATTAGAAGCTTGGATGATAAATAAGTTTGACAAAATTTTGAATTAATTACTGGCATAAATTAGTTGAATCCGTCGCATAGGCAATAGCACAGTAGTTAACATGCATGTTCCTCGATGGGAGACTCCATTATACATTATACAACCCCTAAACCTTATTTGAGTGCCATAAAATCCTTTGGTAAATAAACCTGATAGTAATTAGCACAGAAATCTAGACATGTGCCCTATATTGAGCTGAAGAGAAGAAGTGACTTAGCCCATTAGAACACATCAGCTTAGGAAAAAGCAGCAAAGAATTTACCTTTTTAAATTTTGCCAGCTTACTACTGAATATCTTGAATAATGAACTCTTTCTCTTCAGTTATTGGGGAAAATGAGTTGAATTGGAGAAATCAACCAATGATTGAGCATTTTTGCCAATTCGATTTAGTTATTTTCTTCTCTATCGTTGTGAAAAGAATGAACATACGTAACTTTCAGATGCTTATAATCTTAGAATAGCAACAAGGAGATAGCTGCAGATTATTACTGAGTAGAGTTTCGTTAGCCGTGTTCACTAAAGGTGAATATTAATAATAGCAGAATGAAATAATGGAAGGGGAATTATTGTACTGGCATTGGAGCTGGGAACTAAGGTAAACACATTGAATGACAATGATATAATTGTATACATTGTATAGCTAGAACCAATAAAGATCGGTTTATTCCATTTGAATGAGCATATTAACAAACAGGAATTACTTTACTGATTAGTATTCGTTATTGTATTACTACCCGATTCATACAAATTCATTTGTCTAAATGTCAAATAATAGTGTCGCACGTAAATATTGTGAGCTCGGTGTTCAAAAATGTTAATCTAGTTTAATTTACATTAGTTCGTGAAGAGAATGAAGCCTTTTTTATGCAGAAAATGTGGCGTCTTCTACTTAATTCCTTAGGTGTGCGGTATGAATAAATACACGCTTGTAAAGGCGTTTTAAAGAAATTGAATTCTTAGTGCTCATCATGTCATCAGGGTTCTCAAATAGGAAAAGTTTAATTTATGCTTTTTATATTTGCATTCTGCTCGAAAGATTTGCACAGGCTGTTCGAAAGAGTATCTCTGAAATGTCCCCCATTATCCAGTCAAATTAAGTTCGTTTCTTCAAATCGCATATTCGGTCTTTACATATCTCTAAGAAAAGATAAATTTGATTTAGTGTGAAAACTAGTATAATTCATGAATTTCCAACCAGCCTCTCACGATAAAGATCGAAATAGCACACTTTATTACCACTCTTTTCATTTTCCCTTAACAAAGTTAGTCATTTCGATGGTGTAGAAAAATTTTTATTCTTATCACTATTGGCTAAGTCTTTAAAGGGAATTATAATTCAGTGTTTGCACAAAAGAGTAGACTACTTCAATAAAATCTGAAAGAAAAAGTAAAGTATGCATTGTGTGGGAACTTTGTTCTACTGAGACCCAAACGACGTCATAAAAGTGAATTAATGTGACGAATGATAAAAATATTGTTCTTGGTAAGTTTGTTTTGTGGAGTGCACAGTCCTAACACGGTTAAACTAGAGAGTATTATGTGTACTCGAACATTCTGGAACAGGGGGTCGTGAGGCTGATCTTATCAAGGAGCGAATGAGATCTCAATTACAAAGACCGCTCAACCAATCAGTCATCAATGGTCAGTAAAGGGTCAGCGTACGCCAACGGTATTCAAAAAATAAGCTTCCTGCCAGTTTTCTATAGAGGGGTTGCAATATAGAATTAATACAATCCCAATAAACGTTTTCCATGTTATACGATGTGCAAATTCTGTGTCGTAGAGCAAGGTAAGCAGTGGATACTTGAGGATTTGACGCAGTGATTACTAAAGTTAAGTGAATTCTTAAAATGGATAAGTTAGTTCAGTACTAATCTATATCCTTAAAATTGTATTATCTTTTACTAAGTTTAACCTATTCAAGCCGCTAGTTTCTATTCTTAGTTGAATGTACTGATTGAACAATCGAATTGGTATTTAATTTTCCCATTGATTACTAACAGAGAAATACTGTCAAAACTTTTTGCGACTGAAATAACTTTCAATAAGTATGGCATACTTTACAGAACGTCAAAACAAGAGGGCCACATGTGCAGAAAAAAAGAAAAAAGCAATTTATAGGGTAAGTCCTCTTAAAATACTGATAGAATGTGATAGCAGCCGCTTTTCAAAAAAGAGAACAATTTGAGTAAGACCACGTTCTTTATTGAACAAATACAGGACATGGTAAATTGGTCGAGTTTGAAAGGAAGTAGCCTAAGGAAACGAATTGAATATGTGCCACCCCTAAGAAACTAAAGGTGTAATAAAATTATAAGTTATATAATTTCTAACATAACAGCTACAATCTGAAGATTTAAAATGAATTCCACTGGACGTAAACAATCGGATATCGATAACGACATTTGCAGGAATCCAGAAATGAGGGTATGTTTACGTATAAAAATCAACAATGATGTTGTTCAAAACGTAGAGATATCGAGCATTAAGTTAGTTGATGTGTGAAGAATAAATGTTAACATAAATATGCTTATTTGTGCTTTACTAAACTTTGTCGCTTTTATGGTCGTCTTGATTTACTAGTGACACGTGAGGACCGATATATTAAACGTATGTAGTCTTGGCTAAAATAACAGCACCAGGTATATTAATTTATACTCAGCAAAGAGAAGAGCTCCAATTCCATTCCAATTCATTTAATTTTATAGACATTCGTGATTTTGTTCGATTTTTAATAAATCAACTAAAAGAATCTATTAATACAAAGGAGTCCTTATAAAGAACGACAATTATATAAAAATATCAACAAAGAAACAGGTCTAGTGAGGGAAAATTTTCAACATATTAGAATGATGGGAAATTTCATATTAAAATTTCGAAATGAAATTTTTAGAATAGCGTTCTTTGCTAACTCCTTGTAATTGCAAACAAATGAGTTGGTTAATTCATTGTATGTTTATCTCTAAAACTTTTAATTTAGCTGGTTTTCTTTACAATGGAGATAAAATTAAATATGAATAATCAAAAAAGCATACATGAACTACAAACTCTAGAAATTATTTTTAAATAAATCTACAATGAGTGCTATTAAAATAGTTTCGATTAAGTTTTCCTTCAGCGACCACTGGGCAAGGAGAACGTATTAACAATACTTTTTAAATATTCATTCATATCTTCTAAAAATCATTGAAAATTCGAATTAAATCTGTTTCTATTTAACTTAGACTCCAGAAATAAGGATTTTTATAAAATAAATATTTTGGTAATGATCTTATAAATTTTCTGACCTTGGTTGGATTGAGTTGAGCGTCATATAACGAGACAGTATTGAAATCCTCGTTTCTAAACATTTGATTGCTTACACGATTTTTAATTAGAATGCAAGCTAACCAAGCATATTCACTTATTGTACAAAATCTACAAGCAAGTGCATTAAGATTCTCATTTTATTAAATTAGTAATTTTCTATAATCGAAAGTTTTTTTCATATTCTAGGAGGTTGTTGGAGATGCAGATTTGAGAAAAACGCTACATAAGAGTGGTGAAAAAGTGTTTCAAGTATATTGGGGTACAGCTACTACAGGCAAGCCACATGTTGCCTACTTTGTTCCGATCTGCAAAATTGCTGACATGTTGCATGCTGGAGCAAAGGTTACCATTCTTTTCGCTGATCTCCATGCCTACCTTGACAACATAAAATCTCCTTGGAGTATTCTGTGCCATCGAGCTAACTATTATGAGACTGTTATCAAAGCTATGCTAGAGTCAGTTGGAGTTAGTCTTGATAAACTGTTCTTCGTTCGGGGATCAGAATATGAGTTAACGAGGTACCCTTCATATGTTTTATTTCGTGTCGAATGGGCCTTATCGTATCATTAATTGCTTGCGCTTTTATTGACCTTCCGGTGTTAACTTTTCTCGTATTAACAAGTTGACATTACTATTTTTTTATAGTGTTCTTAGTCTTATAGTTTTCAATAGGTAGTTTCTGCGAATTACATTAGTGCATGTGTTTTATCATGCATTTATCTCATACTACTCTTTTACTGAGCTATTTATATTGGTTTAGAATAATTAATTATTTATTACTATATATATTCTGAAATTGTCGGACTTTGGTAATATATTTTCCTCATTCAGTCATTTGAGTAAAATTCAATTGATGATTTATGTTACCTAAAATTTTTTCGAGATATTATCTTTTTTTCACATGGTGGTATTTTTCGGACTATTCCCATTCGCATTTCTCCAAATATGACTCCTGTCTTTATAAAAATTCATTTTGATGAGGATATTGGTTAGAAACTGCACACACTCAATAAGGAATGCTTCTATAATGCTTAGCTTGGGTAAAGGTAAGTTACCCTGTAGTCGCAATTATTATTCCACCATATTCGCATTAATGCGTTTACACTTGAATGACTGCATCAATTACATTTTTTTCTTATATTTGCGATATATATCGGAAGATCAACATAACTCATAGAAGAATCAGATGTTTGATCAATTTTGTGTTTATAGATTTAGCAGTCTTTCTTGCTTTTCGCCTATATTAATAATAGCTTATATATAAAACACAGGTATTTAAAATAATTATATAGAAGAAGTGGAGTTAATGTCAATTATTTTCTAGACTTTATGCAGCCACACTCCTATGCTTTGTTCTAGCTCAAGTATTGCGATGTCTCCTACTGAACAATCTTGATTGTAGCCTCCATCTATATATTGAATTATAATCGATGTCAGTGCCTTTTTTCAGATCATACAGTGAAGACGTATATCGCATCTGCGCTGACACAAGCATCAGAGATGCACGTAAAGCTGGCGCTGAAGTGGTTAAGCAAGTGGCTAACCCTCTAGTGTCTGGTCTACTCTACCCTCTTCTTCAAGCTCTTGACGAAGAATATCTTCATGTTGACGCACAATTCGGCGGCATTGACCAGCGCAAGATATTTATGATGTGTGAAAGGGTATGCTCTTTTCTAAATGGGACTTATATTTTGTCTAATATTTCTGCCATACTCATTATTTGCCTTTGATATTCCACCAACCATCAGATTTATTTCCTATCTTCACATTAATAGTAGTAGTGATGATTAGATCATAAAGAAAACAATAAAGTAACACATTTAAGTATTCGGTTTGAAGAAAGCGCTATGCGGCTCTCAAAATTTAGTGCATGAAAGGGTGATACAAATGCAACTCATTAATTACCTGGTCCCTTGGGTGTGTAATCTTACATTGTTCTAATTGAAACTATAGTATGTTAGGTAATATGTACTTGACAGTGATAATTGTCTGTAGCTATAATGAGTTTATCATGTAATCAGATACTATGAGTCTGGAAACAAAATGCACTTTAGGTCACATTCCTATTAGTACTTGGTCTAAATCGCTCGATTTTTTTCGTTTATAGATTCTCCCCAGACTTGGCTACAGGAAGCGCATTCATCTCATGAATCCCATGGTACCTGGTTTAACTGGGGGTAAGATGTCTGCCTCTGAAGCCGCTTCAAAAATTGATCTGCTCGAATCTAGTGCCGATTTACGAATGAAACTTAATTCTGCTTCGTGTCCACCTGGACAAACTGCTGCTGATGGAAATGGTGTTCTCGCTTTCATCAAGTTTGTTGTCTTTCCCCTCATACGACTCAAAAAAGCTGATTCTGGTATAGTTCAAACTACCTTTACCTTAATCCACTTTGCATTTTTATCCATTTTTTTCTACTTCAGGAGTCACTATTAATGCAAAGACTTTCTCAACATACGAGGAGCTGGAAGCTGCCTACATAGCTGGTGATTCTAACGTTACCGATGGAGCTTTGAAGGATTGCATTTTCGAGCATTTAGATCCACCCATGGAGGTTGTTCGAAACCGTTTTAAAAATCCAAAATTAGTTAATCTGCTGGCAGATGCTTATCCCACCGATGAAGCCGCTTGTGCTGCTAAACACGCCACAGGTAATTGTTTTATATACTACACTTGATCTAAATGCGTAGTTCGAGATATCCGGTTCATTTGACATGCATTTTAGAATCTGCTAACGCGTCTCTTTTCATGAAAAATGACCAATTGACTGAACTTAAGGGGACTTTGGACAGTTTGCAACAGACGATGCGGATAACTAAAGAAGGTCCTGGTTTATTAGCAGCTGCAACGGTTTTCGGGCTTGATAAAGAGAAAATAGTTAATTCTCTCTCTGGACGTGTTGTTCGGGTATTGTGGTCCGTGAAGCCAACGGGTCTTCCTCATCTGGGTCTCTATCTTCCTATTAGGGATCTGGCACTCCTTTCAAAGCATCTCGGTTTCATTGTGGGTGTTCGGTCTATTGTTGCCTTTCATTCGTTCATGTTACCATTTAAATCTTGTTTATCTTACAGATTATTGTCGTTATCGATGATATTGGTGCATTCTTAGAGGGCAAATGCCCATGGAACCAACGTGAATCTCGCTTTAAACTCTATGAGACGGTAATCACTGGACTAATCAAGTCTGCATGTGGAGATATGAAATACTTCCGTATTGTACGTGGCAGTCATTTTAAATGTGAAGGGTAAGTTCTGTTTTCACCACCTTTTTGCACGTTATCGCATTACTCACTTTTTATTTTTCAATCTTTCTTTTCCTTTTATTTGCCAGTCTGTTTTATTATTTGTTTGTTTGTTCCTCAAAGGTAAAGTCTGCCTACCAGATTCTACTAGGAGAGACGACAGACAATCACACTCCTTAAACTTGAATGCCAAAGTAGGAATTGGGCCAAATTTTAGTGTGAAATAGCTTTAGAAAATCGAGTGGGTGGAAAAGGTGCTAGAAGCACTGAGTATAGAAGCCTCAACACGAGTATAACGAACTAAAATTAATCATAGTGAAAATCGAAATGATGCTAATGAGTGTTGGACAGAGTGGAATGAACTTCAATGTGCTCTGTTTACCCGAACACAAAAATAGTTTTTCTTTAGTACCGCTTCAGTTGACATGCCGTAAAGCGTTGAGTAGCATTTGTGGAGTTATCCTTCAAAATACATTGTGACTGCTATCTTCTGTCATCGTCATAACTCGAATACTCTGTTCAGAGATATATAATGAAAGGCAAAATTGATTATGAAGGATGAAAATAGTCTTAATGAGATGTTTGACCAACTCACTTCTTGTTGGTAAATAGGGAATTATCTCCAAATTTAGGGTAGAAATAACTATTGGGGAATGGCCTGGAAAGCAAAAAAAAAAAATAATCGCCATTGAGTTACCTTCTTTGTAACCTACTGGGGACTATATTACATCTTAGTATATAGTAACAAGTTTCGGGTTTGAAGGCAGACATATGAACAGATCATCAAGAACAATAGTGATGTTGATGGGGGAATCAAATCAGGAGTTGACAGCCTCCAGGATTACTCGTTTTATCTTTGCCTAGCTCCTACATGTTGGACCTCTACCGATTAGTCAGTCTTGTTCCAGAGAACGATGCGGCAGGTTGCAGTGGTGCGATTTCATCAGCTCAACTTAAAGCTCTGGGGTCTGATGACACTGAAGATGAAGGGACTGGAGCAAATCTCTCAGCTCTTCTCCTGCCTTGCATGAAGTTACTCGACGCTTACCACCTAAAAGCTGATATTCGTGTTGGCAGTCCAAGCTCTATCGAAAAACAAGAACTCTTCGCTCAAAAGGTACTGTTACTTCTTTCTGCCTTATTTGTTTCGATTTTAGTGGAAAAAAATTGTCGGTTGTATTTACAGACGCATAGTCTTGAAGTGTTCGCAGCTGATAGGAGGTTTGATTTGTTATATGAGGAGTTCATTCTTTCCACTCCGCTCGACTTTCATATATTGGTTAATCTGAGTTTGGCATTATTCTTAAGTGCTTATAGTCTGTTGTTATCGCACTCCTAAAACTTTTTGAATAGTCTTTCTATTGGATCAATTTCATGCATACCTGTCTAAAAATTTAATACTTTAAATAACACTGTCACTGAGACAAGTGGACGTCTTCCAGTCGCCACTTGGTACTCCTAACAAAATGAGTCACTCCGAACGCTGTCGTTTCCGTTCACTTATTTTGACCATACAATTGTTATTTTTCAAATTGGTCATTTTCAGGAATAAACACATTTATACTTGTAATACATCAGTCTAATCTTCAACTATTTTCAATTTGAGATTGCCCTGTATAGGATAGGTCTCCTAAAAAATAAAAGATGAAGACGATGTTTCATTGAGGTTGAAACTAGATTTTTGACATCAAAGTAATCCAGGTCCATAAAATTCAGGCTTGTTAGTAGATATAGACACTTATTTCTTGAGCAGCCAACATGTCCCTTTGGAGGGTTTATGAGAACAATCAAACTACCGTGTGAATTATAATTTACGTTTTTTCTTCCTTCAGTTCCTTCCTCGTTTTGACAAAAAATTCAAGATGCCCTTCTACGCAGTCAACACAATGCTCCCAGCTCTAATTAGCAGCGCTGATGTAACAGTTATGCCATGTCCTTCAATGTCACCATTTGTACCATCCCTTCGCGACCCCCAAATGGCGCACTCAGTAGCTGCTCAAGCTCAGGCAAAAGTGCTAGCTGATCAGTGCATTCCACTAGTTGAACCCGCTGTTCCTGGAACAAATGTGTCTACTCTTCCAAATAACTCCACTTTCGTAATGCCTGCTCTTAAACGACGTCTCAAACAAACCTTCTGTCAACCCGGGAACGACAAGCTGAATCCAATTTTGGATATCTTGAAAATGGTCATTATTCCCGAATTTAAACGCGATGGTAAGTAGATGCACCGAGTAACATAATTGTTTAGTGGAACAGTTTGAAGTAGCTAAAATTAGATAGAAAGGAGATAGGGAATGTTACATGAGTACTTATATTGAAAAGTGGCAAAGGAGACAGATAGTAAGGGTCGGGATACCTACTGAAGAACAACTACGCGTTAACTGAATTCGCTATCATGAGCAACCACTAAGTGTTCATCAACTGACTACTTGGAACTGCAGAGACGTGTCAGTACGTACACACAATATAAAAAATCCCAAAAAATGGGGAAGGTTTAAAAGCTGTAGCCGTCGACAGGCAGCTTACGAACAGGATTAACCAAGATAAATTTAATTTGTCTGAATATTCATTGCTATTGGGTTTGTAATCCATTTTAATTTCAACAGCTGTTGATCATATTGTCTTACCTCGACCGCCAAAACACGGAGGCCCCATACACGTGAAGTTGGAGGAATGTGAACTGGATGAAGATAGCAAGTGCCGACTTGATGATATATTTGCATCTGAGGATCTTCATCCAGGAGATCTGAAGACTGCCTTGGAGGAATTTATAGAGAAACATTTGAGGAGTCGTCTGACTAAGCATTTACCAGATGCTCAGACCCTGAATGCACTCATCGATGATGCTTTCCCTGTTCCCAGCAAAAAGGGTAAGAATAAACCAAATCAATCTTCAAAGCCCAAAGAATCTATTAAGGAAGGTACATACTACTTAAATTAAAATTTAGATTGTGTTATCATTTATTATCTATGTTGTGCATATTTTTTTAGACAGAAGGCCCAAGGGTTCATCTGATAAGGCGGCTGCTTTTGATCCCATGATGCTGGAGTTTTGTGTCGGTGAAATTGTAGCCGTTGATTCAGTATGTTCTTTGCTCGTTTTATCGAATATCCATCGAGCTGGTCACCATAAACTATAACTTTTACTATTTAGCACCCAAATTCAACCGATTACAAAGTTTGTCGAGTGTCTTTCGGCGGGAAGAAGAATTGCACTTCTGTCATATCACTTCCAAAAGATGATTTAATAAATAAGAAGGCCATCTTTATGACAAACCTCAAGCCCACTGTAATTGAGGGTGTCACATCTGAGGTATGGATAGTATTCTTCTTTATTCTTATTCTTTCATTTTTATTTATATGAAAACTTTACTAGTTGTCACATAAGGAGTATGAGTTTAAACAATAACATGATTGGAGTGCTTTATCTTGTACCTTACTTACTTTTGGCTCTGATTACTGAGGTCCAGTGGAAGCAGTAAGATGAATTTCAAATTATTAAATGTATGTGATTGATTAGTTTACTTGTTAGCCATTAATAATATATTTTTCAAAGGACCTCAATCTTAGATACGAACGCGGAAATATGGTTTACTTCCTGATGCACAAATATTGTAAAGAGAGTCTTATGAGTTCGAGCTGTTGCATCGGAAATATTCGATTTCGTAAAATATCTTTATTGAGTCAGGAATATACGTGTGATACTACAATTGTTGAGGTAAATTTACAAAGATTTTATGCATTATACCTTACTTTTTCATGACGATTCAAGGAAGAATTTGACGATCTTCAACCATGGTAGCGTATTGAATAGTAGGAAGAGTACAAAGGTTTAATAAAGTATGAAATAAAAACAACTTAGAATCTAAACCATCTGTTATCTTGATTTGATTTCTGGAAGCTTTGTTTTTCCGCATACCATGTAATGTCCTAAAAATTTTCTCATTTTATTGTTTTTCCTGGATTCTTGAGTAAGAATACGTCTGATATTCAGCCTGATGACCAAACGATTCAATCGTCCTTTTTCAACGTAACCTTTGGTCTTTAATATTGAAAAGTGGGTAGAAGGATGTAGCCCATGGAATTTGAGATTTAATTATTTACTCATTTCGTGCCTAAGAATATGTGCTGGCATTTTTCGATCCTTTTGAAAATTCAATAAGTTTATTCGTAAGCAATAAACACCGCCTTCAAGGTTTCAATTGGCTAGACAGGCGTTGTTTCAAATTTCAGGATTGAGCATATCATTATTTTTTTCTTTTAGGTCAAGGTAGTATGTGTCGACGAAAAGCACTTATTTGATATCCCAGAGCACCCAGTTGGCACCAAGTTGCAATTCAAACTCATTGGCAAAGGTGGTGCACCTAAGGGCAAACAAGTGGCGTCTCCAGTGACAATCATCGATTACGCGGGTCACCCTGGTTGGCAAGCTTTCTTTGCTGACATCTATCGGGATAGTGGGAATCTTTGTTGGCGAAACAACTGGCGTCTCATGGTTGCTTAGGTACCCGCTGATTTACTGTGTGGTGTTTTGTTTAAAATAAAATTAATCGTGGTTTGGACGTTATTGCTGTCTACTTATTAAATGAACACTACCCACTTAACTAAACGCCTGTTATACTAGTCAATCTATTGAACTTACTTGCAATTTATGAAATCAAGACCTGAAACATGGCTTAAACGATGCTTAGTTGCATCTGGCATAGAATAACTCAAGTAGGTGCGGAAAATTAACAGATATCTTCACACTTCTTGCTGCTGATTGATTTAGTATTAGAAGTAAGGGTGGATTTATAGTATGCTTTTGAACAATCGAAGATCTGGATCTTTTAAATGTGCTTATCCAATCATTGACCAAGAAGGATAATCTCAAAAATGAATAATTTTAGGGTTAAAATTTTCCAAACAGAGTGGAAAGAGAAGATAGTCGCTCAATACAGTAGTGTTTCCAACTTTGATATTCATGCTATAAAGCTTCTAAAAACCACCACCAAGGCGCCTTTACATTTTGACATTCAGTGCGCTCAAAAATTCTAAGTTGACGGGTATGTCTACTAGGCACAGTTTAAAGTGATTTCATTTTCCATAACTATAATAGAGAGCTCATTGAGGTAAGAGGGATTATCTAAAGCAAACCATCTGTTCCAAATTTAAGACCTAATTTGAGGGCTGATTAAGTCGAGATGATGCTGCAAATGTGATGAATGACAGAAGTCATGATGTCAACTGGTGCTTTAACTATATTCAACGAAGTGGATGTACACAATACTACTATTTGAAAAAATAGTGCTGTTTTAAAGGCATAGCAACAAAAACTTGGTCATTAAATATTTTGAAGAAACTGGATGAAGTGTAACAAATTATAGCGACAAAATCCTAATCAGTTTAGTTATTTCAAAAACAATGCTTGGCACTCGGTAACTAAATATAAATTTTATGTCTATTGACTTGCACGGTAAGTGGCAAAAATCCTTGCTATTATTAACAAAAATATTTGGAAAAAGTTTACCAACCTAAAAATATCGATTTATTTTTTAAAATTCAAAATGAAATTTTATTAACATCTAGGTGAAATGTTCCAAAAGCTAGAGATGATTGAAAACTATAAGGAAGAAAACTTATAAGAAGTCAAATTCAAAGATAAGATTCTCGAAGCTCTTGAGTGGGAGTAAATAAAGGCATTTATAAGAGAACATAATCCCTTATCGATAAGCCCGTTCTTATTGTGAAAAATAGTAATCTAGCTTAAAATCTATTAGCCCAATTTCTCTCCTCCGAATTTTAAAAGTCGGCTTCAGGAATTCCATCTCGTTGTAAAATTAATAAGCACTCTCTTTCAACATGTCGATAAAATAGTTCTTTACTTAAATAACTCCAAATATAATCTAGTTACATTTTGTGATTTTTAATTCCTTGGACTATTGGCATCTACGAACACTTATCTAAAATAAATGAAAGAGAGACATTAATGGAGTTTTGATGTCTTAAAGTACTTGAAATCGTAATTTAAGTTAGTGCCTTAGACAAAAGATCCATTCTAAAATAAATGAAGAAGTAGAAACTCATTCATTCTAAAAATTGAATTAAATCAAATGGCATGAAATTTGTCAATAATCAACAGAGCAATTTTATATCAAAAAATTGTTTGAAGTATTAATTAGATCAGAGCTAATTAAGTTCGGATCAAACTATGGTTATTAGGGCAAATGAATTTGCCGCATTTGATGAATTTTCAACGAATATGATACAAATTATGGACGACTCCATCACTTCTGCAAACATTATAAGGTATATATTATATGATTTAAGAGTTTAATTAAAATAAACAACATATTACAAAATTGTGAAACTTAATGAGAAACAATTTGATAAGGACTAAAGCAAAAGTTGCGAATTGAATAGGGATAATATTTTTTAATTTGCAAAAATGGAAGCAGTAAATATTGAGCACAAATTGTTCATAGAATGTTACATGTAGTAAATAAGCTTTCGTAACATATCATTATTAATAGCATGTTTTTGCATTTAAGCATTTAATCATGCAAACTGGAAAATTTGTAATTAAAGAAATTTATAATTCTGAAACGGATGGACAATATTCCTATGACTTTGATAGAATACTTTCAAAAAGATTTACTTTAGTGCCAACGTTTAACCATCGTATTTTTTAGGCCTGAATAAGCGTAATAAATTTTACTGTAAATTGTTTTTTACCAACATATTTAGGTTTAATTATTAAAGTAAAATATTTTGCTCAATACGATTCAAATAAAATAGGGTAAAAAGGTAAGTGTTGAACCTTCTCTGTTTCATGAAATAAAAAGATTTATGTAATTGTACGTTTAAATGGATCGACTGGAAAACAATTTTTTGTAATTCAAGGTTGATTGTTGTCTTGACCTTAGATTTCACAATGCTATGATGTACATACGTTCGATTTCCGTAGTAATACTACTGATAGTTCATTTAAGTTGTGTTTTTGGAGTTAAGCCCTCTCTTTGTAAGTGATGAATCATTTAATTATGTACGTTTTTACTGTTTTACTTACTGACGAATAATTTTTATTTCAAACAGATTTTATTGTTCAGTTTTTTACATATCATGCTGAAGAATTTCGCCGCTCTGAGATCTTTAGTTGTCTCGGTGGCTTCATAGATTCATTTTCATTCGTTTCCCGGAATTATTCTTTTATAAACGGCTTACAATTAAGTGATTTTGAAATCATATCGGTAAGTATTTTTTAAAGAATTTTTCATTCTAGTTGGAACTTTTTTTAGATTTTTCATTTAAATGAAGACGGCTTAAAAGAATTAATTTCTTCCTTGAGCTCATCGAAATTTATTAAGCGGGTTTTCCCTGACAAACCTGTTCGCTTTGGTCTTTCACTTCTACATCCTGGTAGTTGTACTTTTAATTTACATATTTATACGACCAACCGAAAGATCGGTTTGACTTGCTTCCATCTGCTTAAAATGTATACTGCATTTTACACCTGTTTTAACGATAATATTCAGTAGTGCTAATATTATTGTTAAGAATTCGGTTAGAATATTTTATTTGGCTGCATTTAATAGTCCCCTCGGCTGCCTTTAAAGTTAAATTCTTTTTAAATAGTTGGCAGTGTTTAGAATGAACGTCATTTATTAACTTTTTGGGTTTTAATTTTTAAAATATCTGTATGTATACCCTATTTCAACTAATCTTAATGTTTGCTTATTTCTTATCATTTATAGGAAAGTCTTCTAGAATCCCCAATGGACGTTCCGTGAGCTAATTGTTTTCAGTTTTTTATATCTATGGTTAATAATTTCAAACCGCTTGTCCTTTTTTCAATTTTCAGGCTGTAGATAAATTAATACCTGGTTCTGTAAATTTGGACATAATCAATCAAGTGAGTTTATGCATTTTACTTGTTTGATTGATTTCCAAACTTATTATAATCGGGCGGGTTTCTATTTAATGCATTTTTTACGCGTCTTTGGTTGGTTGACATGATTATAATTTACCTGCCACGTTACGCAGTTAAATCTTGAGTAACTCATGCAAAATTATACTATAAATCTTGAACCTATAACATGATTACTTCAACGTTCCAGTGATGTTAGTTTCTTCCCATATATTTGTGTTTTGTTGTGAGTTGTCGAGTGTCCAGATTGTCTGTTGCCTAGTGGTGATCATCCACTTGACGGAATGGATAATATATGATGCTTCTACTCTCTAAATTTTTTACTCTGGTCTCAGTTCTACCGGCTATTATTGTTTTAATGGACGGAAATAAGAATTTTGTTTTGTTTTTATTCCGGCGGATATTGCTGATCAATGTGATAAGAATCGTGTTCTGCCCTTTAGTTTGTTGTAGTTGTTTACAATAATTCAATCAATGTGTCACCATCTTTATTGAGTATTTTCATTATTGCTATATTTCATGCATCTCTAGTACCCTAATTCTGATGATGTCACAAAGGTTTGCCAGTTAACTATTTCTTTAGAATTTTCACTTATATTTGGACTTTTCAACGCTCCTCTTTTATATTTCCTTTTCAGTTGATTTTTACACTACTACTAGTCTGTGTCACTCTGGAGGTAAAGCCTCCTAATGCCTCATTATTTTGATTAAAAACGTCAACGTTTTTTTTCAATTTCCGACATTATTTTCCCCCATATCGATCGGTCTGAGGTAGGGTATTGAATAATTTTGACATTCTTTAACTACGAATCTTCAAATACATGGTTTGTTATTATGGCTTAGTGGATCAACGTAAGTAAATGCAGGTCTATAAAATGACCTAACTCACTATAATTCTCGATTATCTTGTACTAAAGTTTAATTTCCTTCTATATCTACTGACTAGAATTAAATTAATTTATTTAATTTACTTTCATCCATAGCCTTGGCGTCGATTATCTGCTTGGGAGGCAGCCTGGTCAGCGGGGGTTTGTGGCGAAGGCGTTCGTGTGGGTATCTTTGACACAGGTCTTGTAGATACCAATATCCACAGTCACTTTCGCAATGCCAAAATTAAAGATCGCTCAAATTGGACGTGGAAGATGAGTGAACGCAGCCTTCGAACAGTGAGTTTCGAGATTTACGGTTTAAAGCTGAATGGATACTTTTCTTGGCTGAAGCATCGGATTCATTTGAGTTGTTGGTCATTAAGCTCCTATGCTTGTCGGTTATGCTTATCCTGCGCAAAAAGGACCCATTTTTGTCTCAAGTTTCCAGTAGGATTTTGCAAGCATATTCTTCACTTTTTTAAATATTACTTTTTAGTTTTTTTTTGTTAAAAGTAAGATATTAATCTATCAATGTCTGCAAGCAAATGGCTCATCTGCAGACAACTAAATATAATTTTAAGAAATTAAAGGTTTAGGATATTTGCAGAGGTCATTTTCACTAAACTATTGGGTTATATTGGTGACCATCTTAATGGGAAATTTTTATTAACATGTAACAACCTTTGTGTATGTTGTCAAATTTATTGTTATATTCGGAATTTTATTCTATTTAAAATACGTCGAGTGTTTAGAGATCAGAGTGTGTGCCAGATTTAAAATTTTCAAATTTTAATCACCCTCATAGTCAAAAGATAACAATCCCGGAGCAGTGGATGGTCACGGCCATGGGACCTTTGTAACAGGCCTCATTTCTGCCGCTCCCGATGTAGGCGCCCATCCAGATGACCTCACCTGCCCGGTTCCTGGATTAGCTCCTCAGGCCGAACTTCACATTTTCCGCGTCTTCACTGACGCTCAACTCTCAATGACGTCGTGGTTCCTCGATGCTTTCAATTACGCCATTATTAAACGCCTTCACGTTATCAACCTCTCCAATGGGGGACCTGATTTCATGGATCAGCCTTTCGTTGAAAAAGTGAATGAACTTTCGGCGAATGGAATTCTTCTTGTATCAGCAATTGGTAATGATGGACCTGTCTATGGGACACTGAATAATCCTGCAGATATGGCTGACGTTCTAGGAGTAGGTGGTGTTGATGCTAACGGTGATATTGCGACTTTTTCTTCTCGTGGGGTCACAGCTATGGTATGGAAAATAATACACCTACTTATTATAACTAAGTAGCTTTGGCTTTATCAATTTGCCCTTGATCAAATAGGAGATGCAAGATGGCTACGGACGTTTCAAACCTGACGTAGTTGGATGGGCAAATGGTATTGTTAGTTCTAATCTAGACGGGGGTTGTAAAACACTGTCCGGAACAAGTGCTGCTTCGCCAGTTGTAACCGGATCTGTCGCACTCCTCATCAGGTATGTTGACTTGGAAAGATTTTATTTAATCTATTTTGATATGATTTCTCTAACTGATTGGCATTCCATTGTAGTGCTGCACTGTCAGAGAAATCTACTGACCGTCCGCTAATAAATCCCGCAAGCTTGAAACAAGCAGTGATTGGTGGAGCCGTGCCTTTAGTAGATACTCAGGGAAAGAAATTGCCAATATTCGGACAGGGTGCTGGTCTACTAAACCTTAAAAACTCAATTGATGTATGGTTTTGCAATTTTGTAATTTTTTTCTCGGTCCTTAATATTAAGCAAGTCAATATTTACCATTTTTCAAAATACATAAATAGACTTACATTAATAGCATATTTGTTCCCGAAACCACTATTGTGGATTATTTTAATCTGTTAAAACGGGAAGATTTTGTTTGAATCTTTGATATATACTCTTTACTTAATTCTGTTTCCTTTCTTTTGCTGTTCGGTGAAATATTCGCTCGAAATATTTTACCTTTTGTTTATTTTCCACAGATAATTCGTCGATTGAAGCCTCAGGCGAGTTTATGGCCAAGTTTTCTGGATTTTTCGGATTGTCCGCACTTTTGGCCTTACTGCAGTCAGCCCCTTTATGCCACCGGTATTCCTGTCATCGTTAATGTAAGAAGTCTGCCTAAAGCATCGTACTACTCTTTTGCCTGCAAGCGTTGTCTTTTTTTCGTGTATTTGCCTGCAAACATTAATTATTAGTAAATGGAGTATTTAGAAGGATATCACTTTCCCCTACTCCTTTCTACGTAATCATATTATAACTCATTCAGATGGTAATGTGTGGCTGAATTATTGTACCGAATGGAAAACGATGTATTAGCATTAATTTTGCTGTTTTTACTCATCTAGTCGATACATTCTATTTTATTCTAACAAAACATTGTATTAATGAGCCTATTGTGATCATAATAATTCAATGAGTGAACTAGACTTTTTCTAATGGCCTTTTTTATTTCTTGTCTAATATTAATGTTATTACAGGTCAATCTCTTGCTGTACAATGGTAGTCAAAAAAAATTCTCAGACAAATGCCGTAATTTTAAATAGAATAAAGATTTACAAGTTTTTACAAGTTCGCACATGTCTTTAGAGCGTAATTAATAACGTTCAACTATCCGACCATTCTCTCTAAGGTCAAAATCAAGACAGGTCACATCTCGAAATAAACTTTGAGATCAGGGCTAGCATGACATTTTAACTAAAATAAATTGGAAATCCAATCATATCATTAAAGCTTTACAATAGGCTTATTGAGATTCTTCGCCATATTGGGCAGTTCATTATGATTGGATTGAACGCTTTGAAGAGGAGAGAGTGTAACTTGATGATGATCCACAACGAGGGAGACCCACCGTGGCAAGAAGTTAAAAAAACATCTCCCTTGTGCAGAACCTAATGCGGGAGCAAGATGAACGCGTTTTCATTGAGGAACTTGCGGATCAGCATTTCCAATTCTCACAGAAAATGTCTTGATCAAGCTTGATTAATTCCTTCGTCTATAATCCTTATTAGCAATAAATTCAACCGACATCTCTTTCGTTTTTATTCGTGATACTGCTTAGACTTTATGTTAAATTAAACTGAATACAAATGACTTCAAAATAAGTTTCTATGGAGCTTGAAAGTGACACCTTATAAAGGTTTTCAGGAGTCGAATTATTACCAACCCATTAGATTTCGAAACCAATTGTCCATTTTTACGTACAATGGTAGGTCACTACTTGCTTCGAAGGCATAATGACTATTAGGAACTATCGTTTTAGTTTCTAGTTCAGAAGTCCTTAGCGGTTTAATGTGCTTTGTACGATTTTCGAACAGAACTACGTCTTGTTTGAGTTTTTAGCTCATATTTGCAGCATTCGAAACGGATTAGTTATTACACTTGTTGTTATTGTTATTCATTGACAGCTTTTAGCTAAAAGCAGGCAGCCAGAGTTATCAGTGAGTGAAAAAAAATGAAAAGACAAAAGCTTGACAGCGTGTAGAGGATAGAAATAAGAGAAAGACGAGAAATTAGGCGGAAGGCAAGAATTGGTCCTCTGGACTGCTGGTTTTTGCGTTCTAAGCCTCGTTTGGCTTTTCATGCGAATTCTGAGTTATCGAGGAAGAGGCGAGTGCAAATCTCTAATCAATATTCTCAATCTGCGACGCTTGTAAACAGTTCAAGCAAATTCAGAAATGCAAGTAATTTTTTTCTGAAACGAATTAAATTAGTATTTTTAAAGAAAAACATTTGGAGAAATTTGCTTGAAATCCTTCAAGTACTTGATTTTTTTAAAATTACCCCTTTCTTCTCAATCGCTTTGTGTGAAGCGCCATTTCATATAGACCTCTCTATTATTTTCACATCTACACTAGCAGTCCAATGTACCTATTGCATATGCTTTTCTAGCTACATGTCGACTATTTTTTCAAATATGTTTTTTTAGCGACAGTCTTTCTAGTTTATTTTAAGTGTTTTGTAGTAATCTTTCAATGCTTTTCTGGATGCAGGTTCCAGCCAGTTTCGCCTTATTCCTAGGTACTACATCGTTCCATCTCTCCGTTTAATGCGATATTTTAAGCTCTACTCTTCTTCCTTTGCTAATTAAACCTTCCTATTTAGAGACTATCAAAGGTGTTTAAATGAGTAAGATCATAAACTTCCCCCAAGAAACAGTCTGAATGTTCTCGCCCTCTCTATTTGAGGGCATTAATTAGAGCTTTTCACCTTTGCGCGTCTCTGCCTCCACACTTGGCTTATTTACTGCTATATGGCTTGCGTTTGACCCTTCTTTCATTTCACGAGCGTCTTTAATCGAATGCGTGAAAACTGCCACAGATGAAAACGATCTCTGTTTCTAGTGTAGTTATTCTGATGGAGCTTGACAAACATGGACTAGGGAGAAATTAGTCCTTATATGCTTGAAATTTCTTCTGAGTTCGATTTACTATTCTGGGACTCTTCTTATTAATTTGCCTTCGCCGCCGAACTGTTTATTTTATTGCATTCCAGTTTGGGGTCCTATCTGCTTGTCTTCCATTTTTACAGTAGGGATAAGAAGTGCAAATTTAGGGGATTCACGAGTTTTTTTTTCTAAAACACCTTTGCATGCAAACTTTGTTCATTATAATGAACAGCTCCAGTTTTATTCCATTCAATAGAGATGGGCCCTTGGAGAATAATTTACTTTTGGGTTATCGATATTGGCCTTCACAAATTGGAAATTTGTTTAACTTTAACTGTAATATTATCACCCTAATAAGTAGAGAAGTAAACTTTTTGGCCAATGGAGTATAAAGAATGTGTGGTCAAGTGGGAGAAGAGAATAAAAAACTGGACATCGAAAGATCTAGTTTCCTTTTGATATGTTTTTTCTCTCCGTATATATATTTCTGGACATCATGCTCCAACGTCGAGCACATGGAGTTGAGTTTATTTGTTATTAGTGTCTTCTAACTCTTATGCTGCTTCTTATTTGCCAGGCATAAGTTTAAAGCAAAGATTGCCACGACTATCAGTAATCCTATGGACCGTACTTTGCTTATCTTTTATTTCGTAAACTAAATTTAACTCATCTCCGCTCCTCTCGATGCACACTCCTTTCAGCTTGGGTTTGAGCATTAGGGAGTAAAGGGGTCAATTCCTTCATATTTCTCATTTCGGAAATAGCTGAAATAATCATTTCATTACACACCAGTTCTTCTAATTTAGCAGTGTACTTATTCTTGTTGGCCAAACTGCAGATCCTCTCGAGTGCAGCAAGTAGAACTTTCATTGAATTTTACCCTGTCGGTGAAAATGACACACAAGTGAAAATAGTTTTGACGGGATTAGCAAAAAAAATAAGCGGAAAGAGGTCGGTGTTAGTGCCTATTTCAAGAGAATTAATTTATTTGAAATTTTCAAATTTCTGTATGCTTTGACTTACTCCAGAAATGCTTTATAACCAATGGAGAGTCGTAATATAATGAAATCACCAGTTTTTCATCGATTAATCCTTTGTCAGTCACATCGGTTAATGAAGTCACATGTTTAATTTAGTCTTCTCCAGTCAATCATTTTCGAAATGAGCCTATGCAGAAGATAGACATTATTCATGAAGTCCTTCCAATAAATGTCTAAATCATTTTTTCCTCTCTCTCTCTCTCTCTCCCTCAGGGGTCGAAAAGCCTTATTTTCCTGTTGTGATTGATTTCTTTATTCTAAAATGACTTGACCACGTGAATAATATATTTAATTAGTCATTGTAAGTATTCAAGTTTTAAGCAAGCAGTATTGTGTTGAAACTAATAGATTTTGTTTTCTCTTTTCCCTCTTATATTTAAATGAATACTTGTGGCCATTTTGTAATAAAAATAAGTAAGATTTTTTCCTTGGAAGATCATCTTTTAGGGGGTGAAAAGATGAGTGCTTGTGGAAGAGGAATTGAAGGACGCGGACTGGAGCGCAGAATGCAATTAGGGTGTTTGTATAATTTTTGACTTCGTCTTTTTTTCACATTTTACTACATACCATAAGATAGTTTTATTTTTAGCTCTTTTTCTTTACGAGTTAGCGGTTAGTTAACAAAAGTCTTCGACTGGCCATTGGCTCAGAATGTACTGTTTTTTTTGCAGTAGCATCGTCTCCACTGCACAATGGTGAAATATTAGTCTTTTAATTAGGTCATATCCGATTATCAAAATATCCAGGTTTGATTTCTTTTGTATCATTTGATCTCATTCCCTAAAATGCACGGATTCTCCATATATCGTACCTTTGTTCTATTTTGATCTCATGTATCTCAATAAAATAGCTTTTGTAACCTCTTTTCTAAAAGGTGACAATAATCAACTCAATGGGCGTCCATGGTCGGGTTGTAGATCGACCTGTTTTTCATCCCATTCTCAAGGAAGGTGGTGGAGGTTCCTATCTCGATATCGGCGTTACTTACTCATCCGTTCTCTGGCCATGGACTGGCCATCTCTCGTTGTACATATCTGTGGTGAATACTCCTGAAGCTGCTGCTTTCAGTGGAGTGGCTGAAGGTTGGATCAGTCTCAAAGTTGAATCTGATGATCCGGTAAGTTGACGTAGTTAATACTTAAATATATGAATCCGCTACAGTGGGAAATTATAAGTTGTAGAGACCTCTTGCATTCGGAAAGTGTTTCATAAATGACATTTTAATTCAATCGGAAACTCCTGAAACCAAAGGCTGATTAAAAAATTTTGGTTAATTTAGAACAATTTATCTTTTGTTTAAATAAATCACAAATTTTTAACTTGCTCAATTCTATAAGGGAAATTTTGTCTTGCGGTTGTCGTTTGATAACTATTGGAGATGGAACTGCTCTTCAGGATCTTCGAGATTAGAAGAAATGAATTTATATTAGAGTTTGTGGAGGCAATTCTAATGCTGAGGTTCTATTTAAAAATATGGTAAATAAAAATTCGAAGTCTAGTAGTGTGTGTGAAGTGGGTTTGCTATGATCGAATCCTTTTCTTGTTCTGCTCTACAGTTTGTTTTAATTATTGACTGCCAATTTTTGTTTTAGATGTCCCAGACACCTCTTTCGACGGAATTGAAATTGCAACTCCGAGTCCAGATAATTCCAACTCCAGTGCGAAAGTAATTCATTTATCATTTATTTTTCACTTCCTACTTTATAGCTTTTAAATGGTTGTTATGACTTTTATTGCATTACTAGTAAGTTGTATTGTTAATTAAAGCAATACATTTTTATGCACCCCAGGAAACGGATACTCTGGGACGCCTTCCACAACATTCGTTATCCTGCTGCTTACGTTCCTACTGATGATTTAACCAAAATCACTTCTCCTCTGGACTGGTGAGTTTTGGTACCTGGTGCTTGTTCTCATTTCATTTCTTTCGGTAGCTTGCGTCTGTGCCAGTAATGTAAAACACGGATACAACCTTAAGTATCTAAGTGAAGACCTATCTTAACTGGATTGAATTAGTATGCTCTTGGAAAATGCAATTATTTGACTAGGCAACGAAGGCGACTGAGGTACTTGTTTTCTACGTCAAGAATCCTGCTTTATTAAATATTTATACTTGCATAGCTATTCCTAAATTTATGAAATTTGTATTTCTTATAGCGAGTTTATTAATTGTTTTTTTTTATATTAATCTTTGTACTTTGCTCTGTTCACCAGGATCTTTTTTATAATAAAATTGTGGTTTTACTACTATTTTTACGGGCTATTTTAGGTCTTATAGGACCAAAAATAATGTTGTTTTTTCCTGTCTGTACATTTATCTGTTTTTCAATCGCCAATGTTTACATTATGAAATTCTAGCCTTCATATGAGCTCCATAAGGTATGGCTTGGAATATTTTTGAACTAATAGTCTTTAAACGTTTATATATATGACGTTCAATAAAATATTTGATGTGAGGAAGTGTAAATGATGATTTCGGTTTTAAGATCACAGATTTCTTTGCAGTTTGAATTGCGATTTGTGATTTTGAGTATTTGACCACATTCGGTTTGGCGAAAGCTTTGTTTTGAAGACGAATTGTTAACCTCCACTAGACATTAGTTCTCATATGTGAATAAGGGATTTTTTTCAACTTCACAATATTACATTTTATGAAATCTTTCAAGATTATCTAGCAGCATTTTCAATAGACCAAGTTTCAGGGATTAAATTTTGACCAATGCTATGATGTTTGTATTGGAATTATATCCTATCTTAGTGTTATTAATGGATGTTTTAGTAGCACATTTGAAAATTCTTATCTCCTTCCCATTGAAATGACATGTTAAATTGTAAAATATGCTTCAGTTAGGGTGTTTTTGCTCAATTTTCTTGACACACTGACAATGGACACAGACAACAGATGTTCAAATCGGTCAATTATGGCGATGTTATTCTCATCCAGATCACATTTGTTGTACTTGTCGGTGTATGCAGTTCTCATTGCTATTTTGAAGACGCACTGGTAGGTAGCGTCGAGAACGTAGTGGTTAATGAAGAGCTCGCGCCATCCTTGCTTATCGGTGGATGCCAGACATGCATTTGTTAATTCTGGTCAAAGCGGTTTCCTCTTCCCAAGTTATAAAAGTTGGTGTTTAGTGCTGGAGATGTATCAAGTACTATACGATTTGGGAGGAACCAACCACGGAACTTTTGTAAGGTATGTTTGGAGTTCATTCTGTCCGCGGGTTTGCACTTACTTCCTTTTTAATTAGCTAGGTTGTTTGCTTACCCGACTTCCAAATTTTCACATACAACGAGCATGTTGGCTTATAACGACAAATATAATGAAATCGTGAAGTTTATTGACTTAAAATATACGTTTTTTATTTGTTTTCTAACTTTTGAAAGTCGATATGTAATTTCAATTTTCAAGAATAACATTTTGAGCAATACGAAGATTGTGAAGGTTCGAAATTCCGTTCATACATCAGAGTATCCACTAGACGAAGTTGTCTTTGAAGTCTGTAGCTACTGGTTCTGAAATCATTGTGGACATTCAATAGCGTGAATGGGTAACCGCTCTAATTAGGTTTGATTGACAAAGGTGTCCCAATATAGCTCCATGTTCCAGAGCTAAATAATACGAAGAAATTACTTTATTGATACACTTTACCTCCAGTTTGCTCATGGTGACTCCTTTACAATTTACAAATATATGTAAATTGTATGAATAATTAAGAATGATTAACTAATTTTTAGCCAATAAAAGGCTTGATAAACTTCGAGGGAGGCTCCATAAAACCACCCAATTGCATTAAACAACCGTTGGTGAACTTAAAATCTAATTACTAAACTGTGTCTGTTCTGTCTATATTACCTTAAAATAGGTATAAATTCAATTGTCTGGGTGAGAACGAGGGGTGAGCGATTACCTTCCTCTGGAACTCACTCAAGTCTGATTACATGAAATAGTTAATTTTTCAATCATTTTATTATGCTCCCTTTGTTTTGAAAATAAACATTGTTTTGATCTGCATTTTCTTGCCATTCTACTTTTGCCTTATTGTTACTTAAAAGCAATGCCTATAATAACAAAGGCGATAGTTCATGGCTTTCAATTCATTGAATTCTCAGTTCTGCTTAGTTAATAACGATGTAACGACTTTAATTATTTTTTTTATTGGACTCTAGGTTTCTGATTGCTGATTTGCTTAAATTAAGCGATCAGTTACATCCTTCCGATAAATGGTCTTCCTTCAGTTTGCAATGAAATATATTTGTTATTGATTGTAGTTTTCAATCATGCCATAAAGTTATATTTTAAGGGTTTTAAATAGAGAAATTGCCCAATTGCTTTTGTCTATAAATAAATTTTCCCATCATATTTAATTTTACCAAGTATGTACTTTTTCTTTTATCAGATTAAATTTCTATTGAATCTTTTGCACTTCCGAGGAAGTGGCTTCCTCGCGAAAAAATTACAAAATTTTGAAATATTGCTAAATAAGTAGCACCATTTATTGCTTTAGAAAATCACCCACTTAATGAGTATCTTGGAGTAGAAGAGAAAAATAATTGTTACATGAAATGCCTGAAAAAAAGCAACATTTTTCAATAGTTGGAAAATTGGTTATCGTTAGAAATAGAATATTTGGAGCACAAAAATTTCCCTATTAATTCAATTTTAAATGACCTGTATTTATTTGCTTTTCTAGCTCTTAACCTGTTCGCTTGCAGAGTGAGACGTCACGGGTTTGATTCCCACTGGTACTCCTTTTGTTGCCTTAAAAAGCCAGTGAAACTAAATAATCATTTATAGTTCTTTTGGAGATGGCCAATCCCCCCAGATTGTTTCGAGGTCACCATTACCCTTAAATATATGCCGGCCCACATTGGTCTTGGCAACTTGGCTGTTGTTTGTACTAAAGTGTTATCAGTCCATCAATTTTTTGGCCACCCAACATCGATGGCATAAAAACAACTTGCTTGGTTAGTAAGATATCTTAGGTTAATTACATCCTGCTTGCAGCCTTCTCGCTCTAACCTAAATTAGCTGTAGAGTGGTGATATCTAGTGGACGTACATATCATATTGGCGGAAACTATGCATAGAATAGCCATAACCTACAAGGGTAGGCAACTGAGCGGTTGCAAAATCTCACCGAAATTTAAATTGTCGCAAAACATAGCCGACTGGCGAAGAATCGAAGCTGTTGCAGAGTTTAGATTGCGCACCGGACACTATTGCCTGGCGAAACACCTTCACAGATTGGGAGTATACGCTCAACTAATATACTCCCTATGCGACCTACAGGAGGAAATTGAAAAGGCCTACCTGATTAGTGTCCAGTTCTATTGACAACGACAGAAGCCCAGGGATACTGGGAAACCAGAAGTAAACTAATGAGCTACTGTTAGCTATCATAAAGCCTAAATATATGTTCTCTCCCCCCCCCCCCCAGTAAAGGACGAATTCAACTGAGGGGCTAATGATAGATATCAAAAAGCCTGCCATTTAATGTAATAATAATAATAATGATATGACACAATGCAAGATGACGTTGTCAAAGAGAGCTATGCTCTAAGCGGTCTTCTGGGTATCTTCATTTAATTCATAATAGGTGAATAGAGATGCCAATATGAATTCATTAATAACCTTTTGGCTTTAATGACTTTCAAATGTCGAAGTTTTGAAATTTGAATAGGAAATAATAAGAATGGAAGTTGGAAAAAGCTATTTCGTCTCTATTCTAATGCGTGCATTGTTTCATTATGAAAGCTACCGTTCTAAAATGACTTAAGTTTTGAAAAGAAAAGGGAGGATTATAATTCCGCGTTTAAACCTATTTTAAATAAGTTCATAAACTCCGCTCTTACTTTAATGCGTTTTTTTTATTTTTATATGTTACCTATAAATCAACCGAAACGTTAAGTTTTTGTCCTAATTGTTTAGAAAGCCAAATGAGAGTGAAATGCAGTCAGAGCAGCAAAATTGCCTCACTTCATTTGAAATCTTGACTTCTCAAGTTAGTTTCCTTTCCCCCTGATATTCACTTCATAATGACTTCATGTTCTCAAGTTAAACTGTGCCATTATTTAACCTCACATATCTAAATTCGTCCAGGTGGGGGAAAATTCAGCGTTTGACTTAGATTCTTTAGATTTTAATCAAAGTGGTGACTACGTTCAACGCACTGCCATCTGAGTGTCGAATAACTTCTTGCGTCTTCCGAATCAGGGCTTCACTCTTCCTGTGGTACTCGCTTTCATTTTTTTATTTCTAAACTCTTCTTTGTGTACAATATTCTTTAAACGTTTGAAATATCAATCTTCTCGATTATTTACGTTTATACAGAGTCGATTTATTCCGATTTCAAAATATTTCTTTGTTGGTTTGAAGGATGAGAGACTATGTCCCCTTGGCCAAAATTATATAGGCGATTGTTTTTGGTCTTGCATAGTCTACCAAAATGTCGATAGGAATAAAGTATATTAGATGTGGATGTCATTTTCTTGATTATATTTACAAAATTTAGTTTCTTAACGTTTTGATCTCCCTAGAAGAATTCAGATAAGTCTTACAGTTTTCTCTGATTGGATATCTTTAGAAGGTGTTTTATAAGATTGATTCTAGAATTCACGTTCTCTACTTTCTTATACTTTTACAGTCAGTTGAAATTTGTCACATTGAAAAATATCCACTTCCATTTAAAGTAAATCCAATTTGAATTTTAACGGCTGTGAAACAATTTTGTGACAATAGGTATTCTTTTTTCTTGGTGTTTGGTTTACCATATTACTGATAGCATATATATTCATGAGTTTGTAATGTTTCAGTAGCAGCAATTTAACAGCGTGTTTATACTGTTTAGGTTGGGCGACCATATTCATACCAATTTCCGTGACCTCTTCGAAAATTTGCGCCAAGCAGGGTACTTCATTGAGGTTCTTCAGGAGCCTTTCACCTGCTTCGATGCTTCTATATACGGTAAGATTTCCTACATTGTTAATGCTCCTAGCGAAATCTCGTCTAATATACTATTGGAGTAAATTTAAGGTACTTTCGTCATTTTAGTTGCAAAAAAGCACTTTCGATAGTTCCTAGTAGAAGATAATTCAATTTACAAATTTCAAGCAGCCACATCGTAAGAGTTCGCATATAATTTTAAGCCCAAAGTACTTTAGAACGAATAATTTCCCTTTCTTGAAGTTTCGATAGTGTTGCGAAAGGTAGCGTTTTCCTAAATAGGAATGAGTTAAAAAGTGTTGCTCACGCTAAGAGAAAAAAAACTATTTTTGTAGTTTAAACTGAATTTGGTCAACATTGTTAATTATGCAAAAAATAAGTGCAGTTGGCCGAAGAAAGGAATGATATTCAAGCATCACCAAGCCGCTTGGCATTTGAAGTAATCATAAATTATTGTTTTTTTGTCACACTGTCTCAGTATATTTCTCTATTTTGGTAGGATTATCTTTAGATTTTCAATTTCAGGAACGTTAATGATCGTGGATCCGGAGGAAGAATTCTGGCCAGCAGAAGCTTTCAAGTTAGAAAAGGATGTTAAGGAGAAAGGACTATCCCTTCTTGTCTTTGGTGGTTGGTACAACACGTCAATTCTTTCTAATCTCAAATTCTACGATTCTAATAATAAGTAAGCAATATCAACCACTTAAACTAGAACATGAAGGTTATCTATAAGTACAATTAAACAGCTATAAAAACCGCTAGCATTGGCCCCTTTTTTTGTACTTTTGATAGATGAACAATGCACGTGGGTTGGTCTTTGCCACATTAATAAGCAAGTGCAAAGCTGGCATTAGTATCTAGACGGTTTGTCTGGTTAAATACACCTCTTCATCGAGATAGTCATTAATTAAATTCCCCTATAAATGGCATTGTTAAGAAAATTCATGTAACATCTTCGAAGTAACCTCACATCTCTCTTGGCTTCTTCTCCCTTACTCCGGGTCAACCGTAGACTTATTGTATCTATTAATTAATCGATTATTAATTAACCTTAAAGCTATCACAGACGATGTACGCTAATATATTGTCAAGGACATTGGCCCGTTCCTTTCCGTACCGTCAAATAGACCCTAAACAAGGGGATCTTAAGAAATAATGATTCTTTGTTTCAAAATCGAACTTTTTATATGCGTCTCCTATTTCACTGTTCATTTATAAAACTAAATATCTTAACAGATTTGCTGATTATTAATTATTAGGAAGCAGTCGAAACGGTATAAGCATTTAACTCTTTAGAAGACCACTACCTTACATATTTTGAGTGAAACAGTCGCCAAAATGTATTTGGTACTTAAAATGCCATCTTTTGCCACTTATGCGTTTTCCCAAGCCCATTGTGACTCGTTTAATCTACTTATTTTGAGAGAATCATGCATTACTAAATGATCCACGGGATAAATGACTGACTGTAGTGATGTTTTATTCCTAACAAAAAAAGACGTCGATAAAGCTTGGAAATTTATTGTAGGTTTTCCCATTCTGGTAAGTTCTGGCGGATTTGTTTTCCGTATGCAGCATATATATGTAAATGTGGTTGGATCACGCGATTTGGAAAGTTGAATTTTGATTTGAAATTAAACGATACTACTATTAGAGGTGGCATTACGTTGTTGATATAGAATGTATTTCGCTTTTTATTTGTCTTGCTTTTTGGTACAATTATGTTATTATCTGTGTATTATTCACCTATTAGTTATATCCTACTTCATAATTCACAGAATTCCTGAACAAAAACTCACTAAAATTAATTCAAAGCGTGATCTGTTGTCCTTCATTTCTATAAATGTATAATTTGATAGTTTCATAATTGCCATACCTATCATATAAATAGATAATTTCTAATTACTTACTTTCTATAAATGGAGAATCTCTTGTCTCCTTCGATTAATTTCCTTGGAGGATAAAAAATTTTGAGTTTCTACTCATTTACAGGTTCCTTTTACTGACTTTCCCTTCCTTAGGCTGACCAACGTTTGCTTTACTTAAAAGGAAACCAGTAAATCTCGTCTCCGGTGAACGCGAATGAGGAAGACAATGCTTTTTTAAACCATAAAAACCTCAAAATCCAAACGTGGAGCCCGTTTTTTACCTGGGTTTTCTATAGTACTGGAGTGAAAACTTTAGCTATCTTAGTAGTGAATCCGATATATTGTTATTGTTTTTGCGCCTCTTCGGAAATTTGGTTTTAATGAACTGAAACTTTCAAGAAATTTCGATAAATATGTATGTGTGTTTACTGAAGAATCAAATGCAATCTTATTTTCATATTCACCATCTTTGTTGCTCAAATTGGTAATAAATTTACTGTTTTTAATATTTGGGGAGCAAATGAGGTCGGTTTTCGTCAAATGTCAAAGAGTTCTTTCATTTGTTTTTTTTTCGTTTTTGGGGTGTGCAGTACTTATTCAACGATTAGCTCCCTTTCTAAAAGCTAAAATTTCATAATTCATCCTTTGAATTTCAGCAAACTTTTCAACCAGTTTTCAACCTTTATGGCCAGTATTGGCACTTCAGTTAATTATTGCTTTCAATGGCTGGGAAAACAAAATGCCTTTTCATAATATTCAGTAGGTTTGAAATGGCTACACACAGTCTATTTTATTTTCCTTTCAACAGACGACTGTGGGTGCCAATTACTGGAGGTTCTAATGTACCCGCTCTCAACAACCTCCTTTCCTCTCTTGGCATTCAATTAGGGTATGCCTTAATAATGTAAATATGAAATTTCTTGGAAGGAATAATATTTATCGCTTTATTAATTATTTTTTTTCCAGGGATCAAATTTTTAGTGGTGAAATCGAGGTGGGATCACTTAAAGGTACATTCTAAACTCTTTACTATTTTTATTGCATGCCAAGTCGTATTTGGCCTATTAGTTAAGGAAGATTAAATTAAAATATTTTAGTAACGAAATGCCAAATATTTTTTTACGGGTCCATTTCAATTTTGCTTTTATTTTCACTTGGGACCTTGCTCTCATGCCTAGCGTTATATTGTGAATTTCGATAAATATTGATGCCAACGTGCCTGCGTAAATAAATATTAGCTGAAAAATTGTTTTACTTTCGATTTTTCGATCGATTTGCAGTGACAAATCTACTCAGCCATTTAATCTAGACTTCTATTGATAGTAAATGAGGTACTTGGAGCGCAATTATGACTGAGATAATAAGACGACGATATTTCTTGAGTTGGTTTGACTTGACTGTTCATTATTGGGATTGCAAACAAGAGAAGTGGCTTCATCTGTCCCTGCCGGATGGTGCCATTTGTATTAATTGTAAAACTATGACCTTCAAAATATGACCATTCTCATCCCCACGCCCGATATCATTATTTATTTTGATGTTTGCATCATAAAACATCGAAAGTGCCTCGTTAGCTGTTATCGGGTCTGAAGGAATAATACGGAAAATGAAATTCATTAAATAATGAATTGCATTTCCTTTTCAGGCCTTAGCTACATTATTTCATTCAACTTCTTGACTTTTAAAGCATTTTCCTTAGCCCTAAATGTGGTGGTGGTGGTGGTGGTGGTGGTGGGGGGGGGGGGGG